CCCCAAAACCCCAAAACCCCAAAACCCCAAAACCCCAAAACCCCATATGATCTGTCCCGAATTGAAAGAAGTTAAATTCTGGAATAAGAATTTGAGGGAAAATCATAATGAAACGCTATTTTGATGTTAAAACAGACTTTGAGCAACTAATTAAAACTTGTTTTTAATGAAAGTTCCAACCTTGTCAACAAGGAGAATCTTTACGATAGCACCAATATCTTCTCCAGCTGGTTCAAATTCTCCAGCCTTGAAGTGGGTCTCAGCATTCTTGACATCCTTAGTGATGGTTTTTCCGTGCCAGAGGATTTCCTTAGCAAAGTGGACAGCGAGTTGGGTTGGGTTTTTGAATTCAGCAACAATATGTTCAAATTCACCGAACAATCCTTCAGCAGCTTCGCACTCAGCAAATTCTTTTGGAAGTTCTTCAAGAGCTTCTCCGATGAACTTAAGTCCTTGGGTGATGTGGGTGAGTCCTCCCTGTTCGAATTCTTTGATAGCCTTCTCAATATCGAGAATGATTTCTTCTCCATCTTCGAGACACTCAACAGCAGATTTAGCTTCGTCACCGAAAGCTCCGATGAGGAGTCCTTCAACAAGTTGTTCAACATCGACAGCTGGGTTGGCAGATTGTGGTCTGTTCAAAGTCTTCTGGACGAGGAGGATATGGACGATGTCTCCAACGTTTACACCAGCGTCCTTGAAGTTTCCTTCTTGGAAGTTAGCAACAGCTCCGGTGATATCCTTGTAAATTGATCTTCCGTACCAAAGGATTTCGTATCCAACATGGACAACCAGCTCTTTTGGATTCTTGAATTCAGAAGCAATATATTCGAAATCTTGCATGATTTCAGTGGCGGCTTCGCAGTCCTTGAATTCATCTGGGAGTTGCTCAAGAGCTTTTCCGATGTGGGAAAGTCCGCTGACGATGTTCTTGACACCTCCTTTAGCGAGTTCCTTGACAGATTCTTCGATCTCTTCAAAGGTGGATTCTCCATCATTGATACATTTAACAGCAGCAACTCCGTGATCAGCAAAGGCACCGACGAGGACACCTTCAATGGTCTGAACGACGTCTTGGTTGACGGCCATGACGCATGAGAAGGTCATGAGCATTGCAAAGAATAGAGCAAATGTCTTCATTTTATTCTAATCTGAAATTATTATTATTACTATCAATAACCTTACTTATATTGGGGTTTTGGGGTTTTGGGGTTTTGGGGTTTTGGGGTTTTGGGGTTTTGGGGTTTTGGGG